TACTCTACTCTACTCTACTCTACTCTACTCTACTCTACTCTACTCTAATGCAGCCAAGATCTACAATAAGCAACTTAAAGTCCTGTTGATTTTCTTTAACACTCCACCAACACGGTCATGACCCACTATAAAGGGACAAATCACTTAGAACAGCACAGAGCACTCAAAAAGCATGTTGCTTAAAATTATTTATTCCAAACCTGGATATTTTAAATAGAGATACCCAAAACAGCATTTTCAATATCAAATTTATTTAATCTCAATCTGTTCTGCAATCTGAAGTGTTTTTGTGCCTAAATAGGTGCTGGGTGTTTTTAGATTTGCATACATGAAGAGAAAATAATGCAATTATTTTTAAACATTTAACCTGAACCACCTATTCCATTCTATGTTATCATTGAATGTTTCCTCAAACTACAATAAAAACAGAATGCTTGATTTGCATATATTAGAGACACATATTAGATGAAGACATATTTCAGTTATATGGTTGTTTTCCTCATTGTCATTAGTACTTTTTAACAAATTGATGGACAACAATGAGCAAAATCGTTGGGTTCTGTCAAAGAAAAATACAACACAATATAAGATTTGCCCATCTCCAACATTAGATAGCATCTACCTTTCACAAATTCTATTACCTTGTTTTCATTTAAAATGAAAGAGATTGACAGAACAATCACAGTTGTAGTACTGTACATTTATCATAAACCATATAAATTTTCCAAGGAAATACCTTAATAATGGTACTCCCTGTACTTCTTCTTCTTCAATTATTCACATCCTCATTGAAAGTCTTTTTCTAATTTTTTTATTTCGTTCAAAAAGTTAAAACACAAATCCCACCCCACAAATGTTAACAACCAGCAACAACAACAAAAACAAAAATGGACAGAACAATTTTAAAAATTGTGCATTGAAAAGGATAAAAAACAAAAATACATATACATATATTATCAGAACAGATATATATTATCAAGACAGACTAAGTCAGATACACACTTCAATGGATAATTAGAACTGCAGAAAAAACCTCAAATTTATCCACTCTTTCACCCAAGTAAAGAAACTAAAGAACTTATAATTGACTTCAGGAGGAAGAGAGGTGTACATTTACTATTGCACATAAATGGCGAGGAGGTGGAGAGGGTTGTTAATTTTAAATTTCTGGGCACTTATATCTTGGAGGACCTCTCATGGACTATGCTTGTGAAGAAGGTACAGAATTTGTACTTCCTGAGAATGCTAAATCTATCTCAGCATCTACTTCTGTACTACTACTGCAGCACCATTGAAAGTGTTCTGACATATGGCATTCTTGGGAGCAGCTCTGTAGCAGACAAAAAAGCTCTACAGAGAATCATTAAAACTCCCCAGAATATCATTGGGCTCCAGTTACCAGCCCTGGATGACATCTTTGCATCTACCAGTTTGAGGAAATTGTACAACATTCTCAAGAGACTCTTCCCATCCTGCTTACAATCTTTGTGAACTGTTCTGCCTTCTGTCAGAAGATACAGATTAAAAGTCAGACCACACATTTTCTGAACAGCTTTTATCCCAGAGCTATAATTGCACTTAACAATGAACTTAAGGACCACCATCAGTGAGCTGTTG